TTGCTATATTTTTTCCATCAGTGATCGTTCTTTTTCCTTGATGTGAAGTGTCAGTTGGGTAGACCTTTGGGTGTTAGTTTGTGAGTGCATTTTTTTTGGTTGCCCTCTTTTTTTGCTTTATGTGCTATGGGTCTTGTTGTTAGTGTTGGTTTGTGTGCTTCATGTCTTGGGTGCTTACTTTGACCTCAGTTTGCTCTTTTTCCTTTGCTCTTACTTTGTTCGTGATTTTGTGTCTCCTTTTTTGTTTACTTTGTGCTTGAGTTAGGTGTCTCTTGGAAACAACCTCTCTACTTCCGAGTAGGCGTAAGGCCATCATACACACACCTTCCCCAGACCATATTTTTCTTGGAATTTTATTGGTGTTTTTGTTGTTGTTGTTGATGATGATAATGATGATTGATGGGAAATAATACATGGCCCGGCCTAGATTTCCCAATTATTTATGAAGATCAGTTAAATCGGGTTTGTTAAATAAAATGGGGGAATAAGAGAACATTCAATTCCCCCAAAGATGCTCATGCCCCTCCTATAAAAAGAGAGCCATTTCACAAGTTCAGGGAGGCCTCTCACACGTCACACTCCTCTCCTGCTCACTACACTACTCTTTTTCTATCACGTAGCTTGCTCATATTCTTCTTCCTTATGTAATGTGTACACACCCCCGATATTAATAAAATCTCCTCCCTTTGGCAAGGTACCACCAAAAAAAGGCTCGTGATTTTCTCCCGATTGGCTTTCCATGTAAAAATCCACGTGTTTATATTTTGGTATATTTTGTTAGACTAGTTTATCGGTCTTGCCAAGCCAAGAGTGATACACCAGTCAAGAGAATTTACACCATGAATGATGATGATGATGATGATTGGAATTGTCAGTTACCCAGAGATTTATGGCTTCTGCTGTTGCACTCTCAAACTACAACATATAACTTTTTATGCAGGGTTTCAGGGAAAACATTATCTGTGGGGTGTGTTCAGGGAAACAGAGTGCCCTGCATGAGAAACAGAGTAAAAAGGATCCCCTGTATCACTCTACGTATCACTTAATTATTTTATCTACAAATAAAAATTTGTTCAAAAAATGTGTTAAAGTATATATATGCTGTAAACAATAACCCATTTATGTTGGATAACATATAAAACACAAAGCTAAGTTTTTCAGTTATGAACTTTATAAATGTTAAATAAATGAGTGATTGTTTACAACATATATGTGTTTTATGACTAATGTGTTTAATATATTTTTATGGCTAAAGTAATTAAGCTATATGGAGAGTGTTAAAGGCTATCTCTACTCTGAACCGCGAGGGCAAAGACGTCTAGTGTAATGTTGTCTTACTGGGTTATTGCAATTTCAGAATTTGTGGGAACTTTGTATTAGAAATAAGTGTTTTTTCTTTATCCATTGTATTTGTAGTAGTGTGCTGTCTTATGACCATATCATATCCTAGCTGACATTCACTATATGTATTATGACTAGTACCATTGCCTTGTTCTTGCATGAAATCTTAAGTTCATCCTTGACTTGGGTATGTTTGGTTTTGTTATTTGTTTATATAAGAGCTGTCCTTTCCCATTTTCATATCCCATACAACTGTTTGTATGTTTGCATAACTCTTTATATTTATTCCCCCAAAAAAATTACTATGAGGTATTCTCGATTTTTTGGTAAGAATTCTCATGTCTCACATTAACTAAAATAAACTCTGGGAGTTTGTTTAAATATGTGATAATGTACTTTGAGGATACATTATGTCTATTTGGCCGTTAAGATTGAAAATTTCGTTATTTTGACAAATACTATAGATTTTACCTTGATAATCATTATTTTGTTAAACTTTAATGCAATCTTTCAATTGGTCAAAGTAATGAAACTTTCAATCATATTGTCTAAATGGACAGCTATATCATGCAGTATATTTCAGATAATGTGGGATACAAGAAAATCTACCCTAAAGTGTTTTTTTGTTTATTTCCCATTCCATAAGCCAACTCACATGGAGTATGAGATATGTGGAATGAGAAAGAAAGGCGCCGATGAAAGTTTATTTTTTAGGTGTTTGAATTAAACTAGGAAAATGCTAGAGTCACAAACATATTGTTCACAAACTTCACAAACTTGCCTTTTGTGGATTTTAAATTAAAATATCTTTTATTATTTAAGTGCATTTTATTTCTAGGAAAGTGTTAAAAAGGCAAGTTTGTGAACTTTGTGAACTGTTTGTTTGTGACTCTAGCATTACTCATTAAACTAAGTGTACTCCAAAAATTGAACCGTGAAGGCATGCATTGATATTTTGTGTTACTGTAGTACTAGAGTGATGATTTACAATGACATAAAATATTAGTGCAAAATTTTTCGATTAAACTGCCGGTGTATCCCTTTGGGTACACTTCATGGTGTATCCCTATCAATAATTTTTAAATTCAAATTGGGAACATTTTTGACATTTCACACCACTCTTCGCAAGTATATATATAGGACTGTAGGAGTACTACTTACAGAATATCAATACCCCTTGGTTCGTATGACATAGGGAACTAATGGCATGGGATGATCATATCAATATGTTTTACTCTTATATAAGTATGTATTTTACTACTTCCTCCCACTTAAGTATATTTTTAGATTCTAGATCAATCCTTTGGAAGTAATTTTGATATCGTAAGCCAAGATAAGAGTCTTATTTCAAAATTGAGAGAGCAAATAAATAACATTTATTAAATATTTTATTTACGTGATATTTTTCTAAATAGTTTTAAACAATGTCAAAGTTAAATTTCAAATTTATAAAGTTATATTAATAATTTTATTTATTATATTCTCATCTTATAAAATTTATAAATTATTATGTCATATATTTAGTGAGTTTTTATTTTGAAAATGAACCAATTTCAGAAAACGTCAATTAAAAAAAAGCATTTTGAAAAATTAGTATAAGTTTTAATGTCTTTTTGACGTTGTTTTGACGGTCATTAATTGGAGTATAAGTTGAGCATCATTTTCAAATAACGAGTAGCATCTTGGTAATTAATTTATCTTAGAGACTAGTTTGAGAAAATACATAGTTATTGAGTACATTTTTTAGAATTTTTTTCACTTGTCCTCTTTTCTTTTTTTAGTTCACTTCAATTCTTTTCATTTCTTCTTAATAAGGGAGTATGTGTTTTTCTTTTTGTGGATTTCATTAATTTTCATTCTTAATAAAATTTTCTTCTTCCTAAATACTCTTCTCCTTATGGGTGTACTCCTATTGTTCCATCAAAATATTTCAACTGAACTTATTTGAATATTAAATCAAATTTGTACTAAATGAAAGATAACAGCATTAATTTTTGTGATGAAAATGATTGAAATATTAACACCATATCAATTATTTTGGTGATGTTTCTTGTATCATCACTACTGACATTGCATTCCCTAGTAATTTTTTAAATTTTTTTTTCTTGTATAACAACATTACATCAGTCTCAAAGTCTCTCGCTCATTGCAGGATATAGAGAGCTTTGATGTATGCTGATCCGTATATTAAAACATAAAAAGACTATTTTCAAATGATTCAAGAATAAAAAAAGTGAACTTTATGAAGATTCTATATATGCATGTTTTATTTTTAAATATTTATACCAATATTCTGTTCTATAAATTAAATCAAAATAACTCCAATCAAACATTATATATTATAAATTATACTCCATAGTCTTTTTAACACCATAAAGTATATTTAGGGGCGCATTAGTTTTTATTGCGAACAAAAGGATCAAAACAATAAAAGAAAAAATAACAAAAAATAATTATTGAAGGGTAGACCATAATTCTTAGATTGTTATGATCACCATTAAGAATAAGAAGAAGAGTGAAGAATTAATAGAGAGAAGAAATCAGAAATATATTATATATATTCTCATAATCTCTGAGTAGTTTTTCTCTCATTTTATAACATAGACTTTATACTTTCGAAGGTAACTAAACAACTACACACGAATGTACTCACTCTTTATAGTTGGAACTCACATTTCAATTCAAGTTATTCAATACTCAAAAAATGAAGAGAGACTTTAAAATGTTATCTCATACTCTCTCTAACTTCTTATCATAATTATTGTATCATACAAGTTATGTTTATTGATAGATATATTTTCCTTTTAGACTATAATAAATTTGATCATCAATTAAATAAATATTTAAGATAAATCTGATTAAATTATTTTTTTCATTAATATGTACTCTGTTGTTTTTATTTGATTGATCGTCAAAATTTATTTAGTTTGAATGTAAAAAGTCAGATTAGACCAACATAGAAAAAATATTCTTTGAGTTTTCTGCGTAATTTGCCCCTGAACTTTTAGAAAATTGTATATATTAAATTCAAACTTTAAAAATTGCATCAATGCCCCCAAACTTTCAAAAATGTTGCACTTATGGTCCTTTTGTGCCAGATTTAGGAGTGCATCAATCACACGCTCATCAATATACGTGTTGAAGCTTGATGAAGATGTATCTCAAAGATTGATGAAGAAGTTGATTGATTGATAATGAGCTTTATCAACTTTCAAATTTGATTACCGACGACTAAATCAAGAATAATTATATATGGTTTAACGACGATAAAAATATAGAAAATAATGTTTGGAAAAAACATATTACGAAACTCAAATGTGATATATGCCTTTAGATGAATCTATACTTGCATTGGATGAGTGTGTGATTAACGTACTCTCAAATCTACTGAGGAATCATTAGTGCAACCTTTATGAAAATTCAAGGGGCATTGATGTAATTTACAAAGTTTATGCGGAGCCATATAGCTAAATGACTCAAAAAACTCAATTATTGTTTCAATTCCCTCAAATTTTCTATGTTCTAATCTTTTAACCCGTTTGACATTATCATTAGAAATTAGCACCAATTTTTTGAAAATGTTGTCTGATAATAGTTGTAAGTGTTAGCATTTTTAGAAATTATCTACATTATTAAAATTTTATTCAAAATATTAACTAGGAGAAAATTTCAAGTCTTGCTCTTGCCCCTCTCATAGTTGTGCTCTACCCTACGGGCTACGGTTGGTTGCCACAATTCAATTGCAGCGGGAGAGAAGAAACAGGATGGCGCCTGTTCTGCAAAGCTCTCAGCAATGGGTGGAGAAATAGTACACTCCTCTCCTCTCTCGATCTCATATAACCAGTCCAAACCATGTCAATGTCGTCTCGTACACTTCTTCGATTCCTTTTTTGCAATTTATTCTTCTCATCAATGTCGGTCTTGTGCGTTCCTCAGCCGGCCGAAGCAGGTGAAGGACGTAGCTCACCAGGACGAGGTTGTTCGAGTCCTCACGAACACTCTCGAGACCGCAAATGTACGCGATTCCAATTTTGATGTTGATTGCGCGTGTCAGGCTACTGATTTGTGTTCTAGGGTTTATGATACATCATATTATGTTTATGTGTATGAATTTCTGCGCCCTGTTGTGTTTGTATAGTGTCCACATATGCTGTTTTATGGGCCTCCTGGCACTGGGAAAACGACGACAGCCCTTGCGATTGCTCATCAGCTTTTCGGGTACTTTTCTTTCGGCATTGTGTATGTGTGCTTGCAATGAGAATGTGAATGAGTTCATTAGTTGACCTTTATCTAAGAAAAAGCGGTGCACGTTTTAATAGATATGGGTATGCTATTATGTTTGTTAATTATATTTGGTGAAGTCATAGTTGAGTTTTAAAAGGGAATCAGAGGTGCTTTCAAGTCTTAAAGTGATATAAGGCTCAGATGAAATGTTCCTGCGACTAAATTCATTAATTACCTTTACAGGCCTTTATCTATGCCACAATCATTTTAATCTCTATATCTAGGAATAAAAATCTGAGATGTTGTAGCTTCCTTGTGTACCCAAAGGAACCTTTATGTGTGACCTTAATTATCCTTCAAATTGAAATTGTTACCTCGTGACCTGCAAGATTTCTCTCCCCAAAAAATAATGACACAAAAATTTCTTAAGACTTATGAATATCCTGTTTGCAAATTAGGTCACAATCTTCCATCTGTTAGAATATAAAAACTTTTCCTCCGCCTGAAATCACAAGTTTGAGCTTTTACTCGAAACTCAATGCCACCCAGATTTATAATATTAAAATTTCACGTGCAATGCCCAAAGCAATCACGCCTGCACGTGAGGGGGCGTGTTAGGATATTCTTGGGCCCACAACAACAAACTTGAGCTTTTTGTTGAGTTGATTCCTTGAATCCTTCAATCTAGTGTTAAAGCTTTTGTTTGCCTCTAGAACAGCCTCTGAAGTGTCTTTCACAAACAAAAGTATGCGATCTACCTCAAAATTTGAAATTTCTTTCTCCAATATCCTAATCACAAAATTACAAAATACGTTTTGACTGCTTGTGTCAGCATGCAAATATTGATTTTTTGTTGTTTTATATTCTAATTGTTCTTCTTTAAGAGAAGTAAATGCTGTATGTTTTTCTCTATTTTATATGCTTTGGTTTTCGAATACATTTTGAGTGTGTGTTGGTAGAGCATGGGCATGATGGGTGACACTGTTTACATTGATAGGCCTGAATTGTATAAGTCAAGAGTTTTGGAACTTAATGCTAGTGATGACCGTGGTATAAATGTTGTTCGCACAAAGATAAAGAATTTTGCTGCTGTTTCTGTTGGTTCCGGACACCAAAGGTACCAGCTTCTCTATTTGATCTCAGTTATGGCTTGCTAGTACTAAACTTTCCCTCTCTTTAATTCAACTTTTACATCTTATTGATCCTATAAAAGATTCTGATAATCTTGACTGCACTTTCTAGTGGTTATCCTTGTCCACCTTTCAAGATCATAATCCTTGATGAAGCAGATTCAATGACTGAAGATGCTCAGGTGAGTCTGCTGTGTAAGCATTTACTCACCGGTAAATTTTGATAGGTTATACAAATTTGTTTTTTCAGAATGCTTTGCGACGCACTATGGAAACATACTCCAAAGTCACAAGATTCTTCTTCATTTGTAATTACATCAGCAGGTTACTTATCTCCAAGTCTTTGAATGTTTTGCTTTTCATCCAGTTCTCCCATTATCATCTATGCTCTCGCCCCCTCCACTGACTTTTTAGTCCCATGTGGACCTCCTCTCTTATCTTGTTTGAAAGTTTTTTGTTTCCTTACCTGATTGCATTGTCGTAACGGGAAAAAGTCAAACATTGAACGGGTACTTTAGTAATGTGGATATGCAGTGAGTCGGTGACTACCTAACAATTGCATTGTGAAAATAATCATTTCCCAGGCAAACGTGATGCTGTTTTTTGCATCCATTTTAGGTGCTTTTGCTGATAGATCTGCGTTTTGAATGATTTTTACATTGTAGGATTATTGAGCCACTTGCTTCTAGATGTGCCAAGTTTCGATTCAAACCACTTACTGAAGATATTATGAGCAGCCGAGTACTACACATCTGCAAAGAAGAAGGTCTTAATATGGACGCAGAGGTGTGTACATAAATTATTGATGCTTTTTCGGCATGCTCCTTTTATGATTGAAGTGTGTTTTTATCTACATCTTATGGTTAGACAAGTTTCTTGTATATTTTTCAAAAACCTTGCGTCTCTTTTTCTCTAATTGCAGGCCCTTTCAACCCTTGGTTCTATCTCACAGGGTGATTTACGTAGGGGTATTACATGCTTACAAGTAAGATACACCTTTCATTATTATGCTTGAAGTGGTCAGGAGAAAAATGCAAATGCATATTTATTTTCTTTTCCCAGATCATATGTGATTTTCATTTGAGAAGCTATCAAGACCTCAGATCTAATATATCCATTGTAGACAGTGTAAAAGTATATGTGGCATGGACTTCGGGAATTTCTTCAAATATTTTGTAATAAGGTTAAGATTGCTCTGTATAGATGTTAAGTATAGAATTTTAATCAGGAACATAAATATGTGGCTGATTTCAACTGGGCAATACTGGAATTTTGGAGCGATTATATATGAACTAGACCTGTGTTAAATAGCTCCATCTCCTATCAGTAGAAAGCTATGGTTGCCATATTGGATCTAGTCATGCATTCCATTTTTATAAACAGTTCACCAATTATAAACAAAGGTTCATTTCACTTGGTATGAAGGAATCTTTCTTAACTTAAATGGTTACTGTCTTTCAACTTTTGATTCTCCTGCAGAGTGCTGCTCGCTTGTTTGGATCATCTATTTCATCCAGGGACTTGATTAATGTCTCTGGGGTAAGTTGATTATACCAGGCTTACCACTTGATTTTCCATGACTCAACTTAATTTGCAATTATCTTGGTGTGAATTTAATTATAAAGAAGAGTACGATGTAATATCCCTCGGGCCTTGTCTTTTCTATTTAGTGTACAATTCTTTTTAGCTGAACATACTATGTGGAATCATCAGGTTATTCCGGATGAAGTTATTCATGCACTATTTTCAGCTTGTAAAAGCGGAAGCTTTGACTTAGCCGACAAAGAAGTGAATAATGTTATATCCGAAGGGTATCCAGCTTCTCAGATTCTCTCTCAGGTCACAATCCCACTTTTCTGCCTCGTTCCCCCACTTCATTATGTTATGTCTTCTGCTGGACATTGTTAGTCTAACACAAAGTTTCTCGCAGCTATATGATTTAATTGTTGAAGTGGATGATATATCAGATGAACAAAAAGCAAGAATATGCAAGAAATTGGCAGAAGCCGATAAGGTAATTGCCATTTATCATTATTGACATCATTATAAATCACATCCCCACTCCATCCCCCCCCCCCTACCCTGCACCTCTGAATCCACCCCCGGCCCGGGCTAAACAGAACACCGTAGGACCCACAAGTAGTGTGGTGTATATAATGACAGACCCCCAATGCCGGTATGAAAGAACCACCCGTCTGCGCTTCTTTTAAGGGCTCGGTTCTTTTGACACCGGTGTTAGTGTATCTTTGGCACTGTGTTGGCAAGGTGAAATAAGTGTGAAACTCATGCAGGCCATCATGGAATATGATAGTTTTCGACCGTTGTTGAGTCTGAAATAGTACTTACCACTCCCCCCCCACAGTTTCTTGTAGATGGGGCTGATGAATATTTNATGCAAACACTCTGCAACATGCCACAAGAAATGATCTACTAGAGAGAGTACCATGACTACTAGGGTGAGTTTTGAGTTTTGTTTTATCTCAAGTAGATGCTATAAATCACCACTTGGTCATGCTTCATTTCCTTAAGGTAGTGTTTGGCAACTAGCATTTCATTTCAATTCATGCATTTCAATTCCAAAATTTAAAATCTTGAATTTCAAATGACAAGGGGAGATGCATGGATTTCAAATTAAGCTTTGTTATGAATGAGATGACTCAAATCCAAATTCAAAATTTTTAAGTTTCCCAAACATGGAATTATTGACTAGTCCCACAAACGAACACAAATTTTTTCCTCGCACTTTGTCCTCACTTATGCGCGCCCAGAGAACTTCCGAGGGGGTAATCTATTCTAAAATTGCTCCATGCCCAGTGGCGTTTCTAGTGATGAGCTCTCAGAAAAGAAAATGCATCTTAATGGTATGAGTAGTACTATGAATCCTTCTAAGCTTTTATAATTGCATGTTAACACAAAGTATTACGAAACTAATCAAAGTTCACATAAACCAATCAAAGATAAGTGAACAAAAATTGACTGTAGCTATTTGATTTTGCATATACTCCCTTTGTGTATTGAAAAGATTTCATCTTGAAGAGTTTAAAGTGTACACCTTTCAAATTTCAGTAAGGTACACCTAGAAATGACTTAATAAGTTAATATAATTAGATTTTTACACAAGTTTGAGAAATACTAACTCTTTTTTGGGTCAATTTGACCAACTCTTTTTAACACGACCAATCTGACCTGACCTATTTCTGTCTGGATTGACTACTTTTTTTCTTTGTATAAGTTCCTTTAAAACATTTTTTTTCAATATCTTTTTTTACCTTTAGATTTGACTTTTTTACGCGCTATGGGGACTACTTTTCAGTTTTACCTTTGCCCCTCGGTTGGAAATGTGTTCTAGAATTACTTTATTATGTTAGTGTTAGTATGTGTTTATAAGCTGATCAAAATTATTTTTAAATTGTTTAATTTATAAGTCAATTAATGAGATATTTTTCTGTGTTTATTATAAATTGACTTATAAGGTATAAGCAGCTTATAAGTCAGAAAAGAAAAGCAGGTCATACTTACTTATTTTTTAACAAGTTTTTTTGAAACTCTAATTTGACCATATTATTTACAAAACTATTTCTCACAATTTATGAATACTTTCAAATGATTTATTTATCATTTAAGTTATTTACTTGCATGAAAGAATATTGAACTTATATACCACGTATAATTTATAAATTAAAACTGCTTATGAACAATAAGCTATTAAACGCCATAACCTATGTCAATATATTTTCCTAAAAAATTTTAATGGATCAATCCAAAAAAAATTAGGAACAAATAGTATCAATGACGAACGAACATATGCTTTTCCAAAATCCATAATTACCATTTTTGTCTTAGATTGAGAAAAGAATGCCAAAAAAATCATGTTTACTTTTGTTGTCTCTGAATTCGGAAAATGGGTTATCTATTTTCAGTTTTCTAACACAAAAAAAATAAAGAAATTATGAAAATCAGAAAAAATTGGGGTTTTAATATTATAAAACTATTTTTACTAGTTTTTTTAGTTCATGATGCAAGTAATAATATAAAAATTTAAAAAGCATATAAACACTTTTAAAAGATACTCCGTAAAATTTTAAAAAAAAGCTTGACATGCATATAGCATGTAGTGTCGAGTAATTGGAAACATACCAAAGAAACTTTGCTAAAATAAAATGTATTTAAATTGTAGTAATAATTTCGAGTTTTGACTTAGCGTTACTCATTAGCACTAAAATCTTTAATATTTTCCTTCATTTTGAAAAACAAAAAAGAAAAATCACAGTTCACGTTTTCCTGTTTCTCCGACCATTTTTAAATTTGAAAATATTTTTTAAGGAAAATAAATTGTACTTCCTCCGGGCTCTAAAGAATAATTATTTTCCAATTATAATAATATGTGGATACAAGTGTTTATATAGTAGGGGTTTCCTAGTTATGTTAGGAAACGGAGTTAATGTTACCTATACAAGAATGGTAACTACTAATCTACTATATACAAATAATATTAAATATAGACATAATATATTTAACATTCTCCCAACGGCACTGGTGAGGAAGGCCGGACTCCCAAGCAATCCCGAAACTCTAAGAATATGATGGATGAGAGACCCTTCGTGAATGAGGAGATGACAATATTCATTGATTGTCCGATTGCCTTTGACGGTCGTGCGGAAGCGGTGCTCCAACTGATCGCCCGAGCATGTTTGTTGTCATGGAATAATTTGAAGATCGCTTTCCACAGAGTATAGCCAGAAGATTCCATAAAATTGTTTTAGGACGAAAAAAGATGCTTCCTAAAAATATAATTTTGATATTTTTTTTCTATTTTTTCTTTAGTTTATTATAAGGTAGAATATGATGTGTAGGATAGACGAGTCATAATTAAATAATTAATGGCAAAATTATCCATTTTCAAGGTGCACTCATAAAGCTCTACTATATTTACTTTTTAATTACAATTTTTCAGAATACGTTTTTTAATTTTAATTTTTAATCTCAAGACTTTATTCTTCATAATTCAATTAGGTAATGTTTGGAAACTAGTATTTCATTTCAATTTATGTATTTCAATTCTAAAATTTGAATTATTGAATTTCAAATGACGAGGAGAAGCGCGCTTTGTAAAGATTGAGAGAAATTTGATTCAAATCTAAAATTTTTAAATTTCTCAAACATGGAATTTGAGCGAAATCCGGATTTGAAATCCAAATATATGTTCCAAACATACCATTAGGGTTCGTTTGGTATCTGAAATTGATGAAATTGGAATTGAATTAGAATTGAAATTCCATGGGATTCAATTCCATAGAATTGAATTCACCAATTCCAATTCATTTTTTTGCACTATCAATTCTAAATCCACATAATTTTTGTGTTACCAAACAATAGAATTGGAATTGAAGTTCTCAATTGTAATTCCAAAGTTTGAATTTTGTGTACCAAACGGCCTTGATAAAATTAGAATAATATTTTGGAAATTCTAAATATTTGACTCTCCCTCTCCCCCACAACACAAGAAGAGCCCAAATTAGTTCAAATTCCCGGGTATCAATCAAAACTATATTTAGGAGTGGGGCCCAGGAAAAGGGAATATTTTTTGTGGAGTTTCCTTTTTCCGACCATGGGGAAGTCGTTGCACTCCACCTTCCTTTAGCCTCCACCACCAAATTTGGCCAATAAAATAAATACATTGCAGGGATGGATTAAATTAGGATCTAAGCTATTTATTTGTACACCAAAATTTATATCACATTTTGTATTTCAAAGACAAGCATCGACATTTTGTGCTAGTGTGATGACTTATATAAACAAAAAATGCCAGTGCAAATTTTTTTAATTGAACTAATATTTTCTGCCCGTATGAACTGTTAAAATATTGGTGCATTTTTTTGGGTTACAACTTAGGATATACTTTTGGTGTACCCCTAGCTTGGTTGATTAAATTAAACAAATTTTAAACAAAAAAAGAAGCTCAATTTATAAAGACCAAAAATATACTCCCTCCGATCCTAAAAACATGAGAGTTATTTATTTTTAAAAAATTTAAGAAAAGTGTATTTTGGTATTGAACTTTCAAAAAAGTCTTTTGACGTGATGGGTCAAAGTAGAATTTAATGGATAGAAATTTTTTGAGTAAATTCTATAATTGGTCCTTTATAACAGGGAGTTTTCCCTATTTAGTCCTCTATTATCAAATATTACCCAAGTGGTCCTTTTTTTATGGGTACCTTTCCACAAATAGTCCTTTTTTTGATCTTCTATCATGTTGGTGTTAATTTGAGGGCTAAAAGTATAATTTCACAATGATAATATATCTTTTTTGTCATACACAATTCCAAAGGCTGTTCCGTTTGCGTCATTTGTGAATTACAGTCGCTTTTTACGACAACTATAGTCTACAAATGTGATCTTTCGTCAGAATCTTAGCCCACAATCATAATCATTATTTTTGTATTATCCGCTTAACCAATATCAGAACACGTCACTAGACATAATGTTGATGTCAAATTATACTTTTAGCCTTTAAATTAACACCAGCACGGCAGAAGATCAAAAAAAGGACCATTTGTGGAAAGGTATCCTTAAAAAAAGGACTGCGAGGGTAATAATTGATAATAGAAGACTAAATATGGAAACCCCTGTTATAAGGGATCAATTATGGAATTTACTCAAATTTTTTCTCTCGAAAAGTCTCTACTAATATTGCTTGGTCAAAAGTCTACCGAAAGTGAAGCGCAGCTTTAATGAGAAAGGGAGTGAGTTTATATACAGTTTTATGCACACGCATTTTTCTTAAGTTAATTATTCCTAGAGAGAGAAGAGAGAGTCCTTACCGGAAATGGAAGCAGAAGATGGGCCGTTTAAGAAACAAGGATCCGTTCCATTCAAATGGGAGATCCGACCCGGTGAGCCCCGGAGCAAGAACGATCCGTTTTGCCCGGAACTTGACCGGAAGAAGCCGCCGGTGACCAACCGGAGCCGCTCCGATTTACACACGCCTAAGATGCTCCGACCTCCGCCCGCCGGCCGCCTTTACTACCAGCCCGCTCCTGCCGCCGAGCCGCGCACCCGCTCTTTCAAATCCGCCCCATGCCCTGCCCGGCAAGAGCGTTGCGGGTCGAGCACCGCCCGTGCCCGACCCGTAGCTGCGGTGTCTTCGGACGGGTGCCTCCCGTTCCCGTCGTTGCTGAGGTGCGCGACGGGCGGGAAGGAGAGGAGCACGGCGAAGCCCCGACGGCCGGAGTACTTCTCCGACGTCGAGACGCCGTCGAGACGGTCCGTTTCGAGTTTCAAGTCCCTTTCCCATTTCACCGAGTCGCCCGTGTCCTCGTATTTCTCGTCGAGCGGGTCCTCCCCGCCCCGCCCCGTGAGCCGGGCCGAGTTCCCAGGGTTTCCTCCGTTAATGGTGTCCGGAGGGCGTAGTTCAAGTGATCAATATGGTGTGCAATAGGACGCTCTGGCCGGGTCCCACTCCCGATAAAGACAGTGCGTGCGTGACGTTTATGTTTTGCATAAGGTTATTGGCTTTTTACGGATCGTTATTCTATAAGTTGGTTGAGATTAGAGCATAATTTATCTGATCTCTACTCTGATATAATAATTATCTGACCGGGTATGAGAGAACCCTGGTAGGGGATTCACGTTCATCTTTTTAGGTAAGAAATGTAATGTCAGCTAATCTATAATTAAAGTTCAATATATGTCTGTGATTGTCAGGTTAATTCGGAGATCGAGAACCTTCGGGGTATGGGGCGCATCCTTTTTTCAAGTAAGAAATGGAAAATGTCATTTTTACTCCGACATTGACACTAACTTTATCATGAACTTTATTTTATGTTCCCGTGACACGAAATGAAAAATGAGGTGACCATAAAGTTGGGATTTGGGAATAGGGTAGCATATATGGTTGGTAGGACATTCTGTACAAGTGTATAGCTATGTTGTGGAGTTTGTTCAATTTTGGTAATTAAATGACTGGGTTGTTTAATTTGACAGTTTTACTATCTGACTACCATTCAACATTTCAACCTAGCCGTTAATTAATTATATATATATATATATATTGTTAATGTAAATAGCTTTTTAAAATTATGTATATCTAATGCGGCAAGGTTCATGATAAAACTAATGTTCTCACACTCTAACCCCTTCTCTGAACCTCTCACCGTAACTCCACCCCAGCCCAATCCCTCCACATCACTCTAGACTTCCTTTTTACCCCTGCAAATGTATGGCTATTATGCAATGCATAATAGCCACACATTTGGAGGTGGAAAAAGGGGGGGTCTAGGGTGGTGTGTAGGAGTCGGGCTTGGGTGTAGTTACGCTGATAGGTTCAGGGAAGAGGTTAAGGGGTAGGAACCATCAATTTCTCTTTTTGAGCACCGAAGGAGTTTCAAATGAGCGAGTGCCATCCGTCAGGGCCAACTCCGAAAAATGAAAAAATAAAATGGGCCCAGTCTACAATTTATATTTTGGGCCCTATTTTATGTTTTTAGAATACTTATGCTTTAAAATTAATGCCGAATTTAAAAATATAGGACCCTAAGTTTTTAGAGACCCTATACGATTGACCACTTTACACACCCTCTGGGCCACCCATGCCATCCATTGGCATGCACTTGATGACAGTGTTAACGCAACTTTGCCGAGTCTAGTGACAAAGTTATGATTTTTTTGAAGTAACTAATAAGTAGAATTTTAAATACTACGACGAGTAAGGTAGCAATTTATTTTTGTTTTTTAATTTCTCTCACTAGTATCTAATTAGTACCATTATTCAATGTCCACCGCTATCACTGTTCAATGTCCACTGCCAGCACTCTTCAATCTCCACCGCCACCACAGTTCAATGTCCGCCACCAGCACTGTTCAATGTCCACCGCCACCACTGTTCAATGTCCACCATCTCCACCGTTTAATGTCCATCCTCACCACTGTTCAATGTCCAAAGTCTCCATTGTGCAATGTCCACTGCCAGTGGACATTATTCTTGATCAATGTATATAATTAAGTACTATCTAGATAATAAAAAGTTTTAGGTACTACTTTGACAAATAAAACTTACGGAGTATTTTTTTGCAAATTTTACTTTTTTCAAAATATATGCTAATCTTTTTTAATCCGTTGAATAACCAATCGAGCAAAAGAACGTCATTTCTGAATTTAAACAAGCAGGTGGAAAATAAATCTTTTTGAAAACACTGAACGGCAAATTGAAAATGTTATTACTCGCAAAATAGCGGATTATTTATTCTGCCTAATCGCGTATCTAGTGAAGAGGAAGAGCAGGGTCAATCATCCGCCATACTGATTATATGCACGGCATGCACCGACAATTGAACTGTCAGGGTACAATATAAAATGGTACAATATAAAATGGCACAATATAATGCTGTCTAACGAAGCTATTGGACATGTTTAGTGATCATTCACCTTTAAATGGGAAGAGAAGAAATTTCAAACATGCCAAACATTTATTCTTACCAAACTTCAAAAAAGTCTACACAAAGTAAATAGAAGAAAAATAATACAATAAATCTACAAAGTATATATTCTGTAACACATTGCATATCAATATACTCCCTTCGTCCCATTTTATAACGCCGGTTTCGGTTTACGATGTTTGACTGAAATTATTTTCAAATCATTTTATATGACAAATGGTATATAGTTAAAAAATAAAAATTACATATTAAAATACTACTCCATCAAAAGATCTACAAAACTAGTTGTGACAATAATACTTTATTTTATCAATTTGCTAACGAAAATTGAGAAAGAAAGTGAATGAAGTTTGACTCTGTGAATAGTGAACAGGCATTATAATTTGGGACGGAGAGAGTAATAAAATAATTTTTTGATAATTTTTATACAAGATAAACATAATGAAATTAGCTTTATACGGAGCCAAGATAAATCTAATGAAATTTTAAAAGTTTTTAACAAGGCTGATGTTCTTTCAAGTCAATGAAATCTTCCAATCTGGACTCAGTCGAGGTTAAAAGTGAAACCTTAGTGGATCAAAAGCTTCCATCCTCTCTCTGTGTGGAGGAAGTGAAAGAACATCAACCTCCGCAATGCTCCATTCCCAACCTTATGGACCTAGAAGAGTGGCCATCTATCTCCCCTAAAAATTCTTCCTCTAAAAGGGAAATTATTAACCCATTTTTACACCCCATCAAGCCCGTCATTACACATGACCTAAAAGACATTTCTGAAAAGAGAACGTGAGGTTTTCTTACTGTGTCGGATATGCAAGCTAGAGACCATTTTTGGCATTCATTTCCTCTCTCTGAATCAATTTACCTGTACAGGATTATAACAAATCTAGTTGTCTGGTTATATAGTAGCCTACCCTGATAGGAAATGTGATAAATTACAATAGAGCCTTGGGTTGCAAAAGCAAAAATAAAACAAAAATAACCACTACAATACATAAAGCTGGTGGTCCCAAAACAATGTAATTAAGTAGAGGTGAAGTCGAACCGAGCACACACCATAATCAAATGCCTCTGAGAGTGCCAGTGGGTGGAGAACAAGGAGCCGTTGTATCGTGTAACGACACAGTTGCTACAGGAACCACAAAGATGGGTTAAAGAACTTATCAAATTGCAAATGCCGAGCTGCTTAGGGTGAATTACCCCAAACTAGGTTTAGTGCCAGATGCAGTAGTAGGTCTAAGCATGGAATGACCAAGAACGGGTTGAGAATTTGGTACGGCACTGAACATAACGCTAGGACTAGGGGGAGAGGAGGACGGGTGTATAGCTGAAAGTGGCAAACGTGGCCCAAGTCCGTACATTCCTTGCTGTGGCATAAACGGCATGTGGGGATGGAGTGGTTGGTTGTTGACATAACCAGACATGAAAGGTTGTTGGGAGGCTGTAACAGGCAGCCTGGTGTTTACATTGGCATTATTCATCATTGATGTCCCCCCAACACCTGATAGACCAATAGGACGGGACACCATAGTTGATCCAAATTGTGAGATCAGAAGATTTCGCTCCCCAACAATCCGTTGCCTAGTCCTCTCTATCTGTTCACATTCCCTCATCAACAATGTCTCGACTTCAGCAAACTGCTTCAGCTTTAGCTCCAATCTCTTTAACTGAAAGAGTGAAAGGGACAGAGATACAGTCAGAGGCAAGCACATCCACTAGGGAGCAATAATACATCATGAGTCTGTTTCATTTAATAAAGATGAAACCAACTCCTCCATGTAAGTTAGCTCCCTACATCGTCATCTCCAATGATTGATGTGTGTGTGTGTGATTAGGTTATTTGCTGCGTGTGCGTGGTTTATTTTACTGTGTGCATTTACTTATTTTCATTTTTTGATATTTCAAAGAAGTTCCATACAACTTGTTATTGTTTGCATGAGTGTGCATTCTTTTCTTTTTGTGTAAAGAAATTCGATAAAACATACTCCTTACTATTTGCCTGAGCAGGAAAGAAAAGAATCCCAAAACTAGAGGGGCAGCCGCCTAGGGCCCATCATAAAAAAGGATCCCAAAAGTTTTCTGACTGTATATTAGTTTATGGTAAAGAATTATTTTCATCTTTCCACACGAGGCAAGAAAGCTTTTTCGCACTTAAATAATATTCACAAATCTAGTTTTCAGACTTAAATAAGTATTTTTCATTCCCACACGAGGCAAGAATGCATTGTCATCTTCTCCACAATCTATTTTGTATGTTTCAATCAAATCAGTTATCACTGCTCATTTTTTAAAAATTGTTAGGCTATTTTTACAGACTATTCAGTATGTTATCCAAAATTTACTTTTCAGAAAGTGAAATTTTATCTAAATAAGGGCCCTTACTTTTCATTTTACCTAGGGCCTATAAAATGTCAGGAACGGCATTGTGCCTGAGTGCATTTTCTTTTTTAAAAAAATGAAGTTTGATAAAAACTTGTTATTATTTACCGATAAATTATCTTTATATACTTTTATTTGCGTGATGAGTATTATTTGCTTGGATATTTAATGTACACCGGTTCTTAGTATTGTTTTTTGGTATAGGTCTTTTTTATTGATCTTAATTTTAACCCTTTAGAACCCGATGATCTTTTTTGCATTCGTCAATCTAAATCTATCGCCTTCGACCAATATTTCATATTATCTCATGTTAGATTTATTGTGTTTGAGACCCCTTATAATTTGACAATATACTTCTACAATGTTTATGGATTAATTATTTTATTAATAATGTTCTACAATTCAGCTTTAATAATGTTTTTTGCACATTTTGATACTTCAAAATGACGCTTATGCCTCAGTATGCCTTGAAGCTTACCCAATACGCTTTAAAGGAAAAATGTCTTATTTACGCACTCCACCATTTTGAACATTGATGTACGGAGACTGTGTCGGGTTGTTTCCACGAAAGCTGCAGCTCAAAACATAAAAGAACCCGGAACCACTGTAATAGACTGATAGCCTGATGATTATATTCCCCAAAGGCCACCCACAGATTTTCTCTCCAATTAAATCAATCAACTCAGAAGTTCTGTGACCCCCCCCCAAACCCCTCAAGATACACACACGCGCGCGCACGCGTTATTGAATTGAAAACTATAATACTTTTTTTGTCAATTAAAAAAAGTACCTGATGATTTACGATATTAGCAGATAGTCGTTGTATCTCACGTTCTTCATGATCAGCAAAAAGTTTAGCTTTCATAGATGCTGCGGCAAGACCAATCTTGGCAGCAGCTTTGACTTTTTCACTAGGTAACGGTACAGTTCCTGCATCATGTTGACACCGTTGACCTTATAGCTGTACT